CCCAAAATGCTCATTGTTCCTGTTCTTCCCTGTATTTATATTTCAGTCTGTCCCTTTCCTATTATGTTACTTGTTGTAGATATAGTTATTTATTGTTCAGTGCTTGCATGCTGAAACAATGCCTGCAATTGTCTTCATGTTGCAAGGGCTTGTGTGAATTGTATGTTTTGCACATATTGTGATTGCTGACTTGCTCTGCTGCACAAAGAAAGAAAACTATTGGGTAACAGTTGGAGGTGGGAGGGAGGAGTGGCTTCCCAGTCGGAAATGGAAGGATTACAAGACAGGATTTTAAATTATACATGTACTAAAGGAAGAAGCCATGGAGGTCACTTTCTCGGGCCACCAGCTCCCCAGGTTGCATGTGGTGTGTCTTGTAGATGGTGTCCTTGCAACATTTCATTTGTTGGTCATGCCTTTCAATTTCTAACCTGGAAATAGCCAAAGTCTCTTGCAACACTTGCTTTGTGCAGCTTCCCGATTGCAACGCAAATACTGTGGAAGAGCTTCTGGATACCAAGCCCAGATGAAGTCATTGTCCAAGCTTATTTATTTATTTATTGGGTTGGAGGAGGGTTACGTACAACATAGCCACATTGTCCTGAAGGAGTGGAGAACGGTGATTCAAGAATAAAAACAAAAAAAACCTCAACATAGGTTAATGATGAAGTCTTAAGGGAGAAAAAAAAAAAAAAGAAGAAAGAGCAGCAATTTTGCACTGACTGGATTGCCTCATTCATCTGGATCTCAGATCATCTGAGTGGCCAGATGTCAAAGACCCAAGTGCTCTAGAAAAATTCTTATGGGGATAGAAAATGAATTTCAAACCTCTTATCTTGAAAAAAAAAACAAAAAAAAGCCCTCAAACTCTGCTGCTTTTTATTTTTGTTATCCAGGTGTGTCTTTAATCACTTGGTTGCTCAGAAGTCTCAGATAATCCTGAGAAACCAAACTTTGATATTTAAATAAAATTGTTACTTATTATGGTCTTTGGACATAGATGAAGCTACTCTTTTTCTTAGGAATTTCAGAAGCTTGTGTTTCACAGGTACTTTCTTTGCCATATCCTGTCATGAAGCTGGTATTGTATTGTGTTTTTTCTTAAATGTTTCTAGAGCCCAATTTAACTGGCACATTCAGTAACATGGTTGGTGTGTGCTGTGGTATAAGTAAACAGCTGCATGTCTGCATGCAAAACAAAAATACATGTGATGCTTGCCTTTCTTTGTGACAGTGATGTAGCTGTATTTGTGAAAGCTTTGTCATCTGAAAGTGTTTACACTGGTCACTGGAAGTTTCTCTGCGCTGCCTTACATTTGATTTGCTGTTTGGAGTAGACTCTTTACATTTCAGAAATAAAGTATTTGGAGTTCTGTGAGTACTGAGAGAACATTGATTAATCAGCAGTCATTTGCAGTTTTTAAAAGGGTGAGTTCCAGCTAGATGTGGTAAAATTATAGTTCCACTGATGAAACTGATTCCTTGAAGTGGTAGAGTAAAAAAGTATTTAAACTCAAAGCTTCTCTATCCTGGCCCCCCTTTAGATGACCTTTAGCACTAGGAAAACAGATTAGGATAGGTCTCCTTTCTATATCCCTGTAGCTGCACAGGTTGCCATGTTGAAGCAAACAGCCTTGAATTTTTGTTGCCTTTCATCTTGTGGATCACGCTCAGGAGTGTGAAGGGAGCCATAAAATCAGACTTCCTGTGTTTTGCATGTCCTCTCCCCAGGCACTAGCAATTACATAAGGTACAAGGAAGTAAAGAACTGGGTCTCCAGGGGCCCCTGTGTTTGAATAAGGACATGTAGCTTTGAGATCTGTGTTCTCTGACAAGCTGATCAGAGTCCAGAGGTGAAGCTGCCTTGCATCTGACTATTTAGCTTATGAAATGTTTTGTAGCACCATGCAGCTGCCAAAAGTGGGATGAATTTTCTGCAGCTGTTTCCAAACTTGTGGTCTGCTTTCAAGTCCTCAATTAATTCCTGTGTGTAGGCTGAAGGAAACTGAAGTCAGGGTGGGCCTCTGGCTCTGCAGGGAATACTCTTGCTCGACGAATTGTTGTGGGAATCCTGGCTAGCTACTTGACCATTTCAGTCCTGTGAAACACCCCAGATGTAGAAGCAAATGCAGTTCACAGCAGAGTGCACACAAAAACCCTGGCATAAGATTGGAAGGTTCCTCTTTTTTTGCAGGCTGGTTACTGTAGAAACATGTAACAAAGGACATCCTTCCTCTTCTGGTATAATTGTGCAGCCCCTTTTCTATATGTCTGACACCTGTCTGAATAAGAGTGATTAGAACAGAATAATCCCATTCTTGGCCATTGAAGATGTGGTTCATGTGCTAAAAGAAAACTACAAGTAGTAGAAGTAAAACTGTCTATGTTGTTTGCTACTATGTCTTAAGATTTTGTAAAACTCACTTTTTTCACAATGTGAAACTGAAGGTCAATAAATTAATAGATATTTCCTCTCCATGGAATGTTTATTTGAAGTGTTGTCTCTTCCTCCCCTCTTTCCTCACCCTTAAATGCTTTGAATCCTTTATAATGCCCTTTTTTTATGTCCTCTTAAAAGAAGCACATCAGCAACATGCAATTAAATGCTTTGGTTTAAGCTTCTGCTTCAGCTGCGCTTTCCTTCCCTTTGTTCTCTTCTGCTGCTCTTACTATGATCTCTATCTCAAAGTTCAGCAGTTATAACTCAGAGAGCCTCAAAACATTTAAGAACAGGAAATGCAAGTTTGTTGGTGCTTGCAGTACAGTTTACTTAGTGCCTGATACCACTTGGAAGTGGAATTAGGCATCTTGAATCCATTCTAATTATTCTCAAGTCAGAAAATGCTGGCTGCATGTAAAACATTCCAACTGTTCTATATACATCTATAGTCAAACTCTGAACTTTTCATCTTATCTTTTTGTGTATACATGGTAGTGGTGCTTTTAGTTGGTTGTTTGTTTAAATGCCATTTTAATACAATTGATTTTCTGCATTGGCTTAGCACCTGTCTGGCTGAATACTATCCAAATATAAAATACAGGTTTTTCAACATCTTCTAAACAACCTCTTTTAAAACTCCTGCAGCTGCCCTGTCTGTGAAAAGCCACAGGTTTCTTCATGGTCTTTCTTTGCTCAAAAGAGTTGGGGTCATAGTATTAAATTGCTTTCTGGCCTTGGCAGAATTTGGTTAACCTGTGTTTGAGATACTTGCCAGCAGTTTTGGAGGGGGGAGTGGGATACTTAGAGAATCTTTGAATTTGAGGAATACCAGAAGAAATCAGCCTTTCCATGGAACAAGGTAAGGTTAAATTAGTTTCAGTGCTTATTGAAAGCTCTTTGCTGGAGAGTAATCTGGGTTGCTTTCCTTTATTTGGACTTCACCAGGGCATGGGACGCTTACAGCAGCACTGTGTATGAACTACTGTAGACTGATTCAGCTGATGTCATTTTAGGATTACTTACTCTGTCTGGTCATGGATTCAAACTCCTTTGCTTGGAAGTTTTCTTGTACTGGAGGATCTGATATTTATGGTGAGAGTGTAATAAAAAAATTACATTTAGGTTTTAAACAACTGATGATCTGTACAAGACATCTGCAAGACATTTGCTTTATTCATAGTAAGTATGGAAGCTAAATGCCTTGAATGATTAGAAAAAAGCCCCAGCTCATTCGCATTGACCATGGCTTCATCAAGCATCGTGGGGTGATCAGCCCTGAACTGTAAGTCTCAAAGGCCCTGCTTATGCTAGTAAATTGAATATGCTTGGGGATGGTCTGGCATGGCAGCCAGCTGGCAGGAAACAGCCTTGAGCACTTTGAGCAGCCCCTTGTCATGGCAAGACAGGGTGGCTGCATACAAACTGCTTGGAGTGCTCTGGCTCCTGAGCCCTATTGAGGAACACTACAGAGGAGTGCAAGTTTGCACGGGCCAAAACCACGCTGGGGCTTCTCAAATGATTGAGCACAACTGACAGTTCTGTGCCTGGGAACACAGCCAAATAAAGTTTGATATATTGCCATTGTCCCGGCCAGAACACAAGTAACGTCACCTTTAGGTCCTTGATAGCTGGGCGGACTGATAACTGGTTGTATGACCCAGCATCAGTGACCTAAATGCTGATGAAGGTGGAGGGAGGAAGAAATGCTGTCTCTGAGTGACACAGACCTTGGCAGGTGGGAAAGATGGGTCCTGAAGAGGTGGAGTCATGCAGCTTCTTTAGATGCAGTGACATGAAGCTTTGGAAGTGCAGAGAGAAGGTAGGAGCGTCCCCACTGAAGGTGGAAAATGTTTGGTGCGCCCAAAGCCTTGCTGGTGACAGTGCCTTGTGGGCTTTGCAGCAGGTGCATGGTGTCTGGTTTAAAAAAAGGAAAATGGAGCAGAACTCTATCAGAGCCACAGCACAAGTGTGCACATGGGAACACATACATGTGCCCATAACCCTGGCTGGCAAACACCAAATTACACTTCTGTTATAAAGAATCAATAGTGCCCAGTTTTACCCAGCATGGCCTCATTTTTGGCCCTTACACCTCTTACACCTACACAATTTACTCGCCTCCATAGTGTGAAAGGCTGTGATCTGCAATGGTCTGTCATCTGGGTGTGTGTATGCATGTAAACCATACAGAAATATAAATACTATAGAAAAGTCTCATGTTTATTGCAATTTTTATGTTTGTGGGTGACACAAAGCCAAACTCACTCAGTAGTAACATATGCACATACACAATGTACACAAAGACCATCTGTCTTCTGTGTGTCTTTAATAATGGTCTGTGAACTTTCAAGTTTCACTGTTCGTTAGAAACTGCACATTTAAATATGAGAATTACCCTTAAAACAAAACATGGTACATAAGGCGTGACTGTGAATTAAAGTAAGTGGCTAAATAAATTACAAATCTCTTTCATAATCATGTTTAGGCAATGCTACTGGCCAGAAAATGCCCTGACACTGTCAGGAAACCAAACTAGACAATGTGTCCTTTTTTATGTGTTTGTGTATGTGTATGTGTGCATCTAGTTACCCTGGAAACCATAATCTGTATCTCTCAAGCAATGGGTACCTATGAAGGAGGCAAAGTCACAGGAGTTTCTTCCAAGACCCCTCCTAATCCTTATGTTATCAGACCAACATTAAATTTCTGAGCACTTGGTAGTAGATGAAGTTCATTAGATATTTTGTAATCACTCTGGAATTTGTGGGTCATAGTTCATGCTCTGATTCAAAGGTAAATCCTATGTCTCTGTTACTTAATTGCAATTATGTATTTATACTAGCCAAAGTCACAAATACAAACCAAGATTTTACAAACCTGCAGCTCTTTCCAGGAGATTTTAACATACCTCATCACGTTTCATCCCAACAACAGATTTTTTAAGGAGCAAAAACACTTAGTCCCAGCCTGAGGCTGAAAAGCTGGGGCATGGTGGATTTGTTGAAGGGTGCAACAGAAGTAGAGTACAGCAGAGCCTCCTCAGTTCTCCCAGCACCTTCTCCTGGAGACACTGGGGACACTGCACCAATCAACAAGATGTCAGGCTGCCTTGTGAGATTGGCTGTGAAAACTTGTCATCTCATTCATGTTGTTAATTGGCTTGAGAAGAGTTAAACTATTCACAGAGATACTGTCTCCCAAGACTAACAGAACTAGGTCTAAAAGAAATATGAAGGAAGTGCCATTAGATAAAAATAAGCAACTTGGCTTTTTACATAGCAGTGAGGAACAATAATTCTTTCAGGCAGATGGTTACTCTTTACCTAAAGAGCACTGATAGGAAGCAGACAAGTTTAGGGAACTGCTGGTAGCAGAGTGTTTACACAGGCTTAAAATGTTATCCTGCTCCTTGGCATCCCTCCCAGTATGGAGAGGTACTGAGCAAAAGAAAGATGCAGATTGGACCTTTTATCTTAATGACAATAGGCTTTCTTTTCCATTTCGAGAAAAGAAACACCTTGTCTTAAAACACTTGGAAAGAGTATTTTAAAGCTTGGGGGTCCAATAAGGGGACTCAATCAATGTGGACTTCCTCCCAGGGTGAATGGCTGGCTGGAGTGGCTTGGTTCAAGGACTGGGAAGCAGCTGTGTGAGAGGAGACTAGTGGCTGGTGGAAGTGTCCCTGAGTACAAAGGATACACCCAGCTGTCATTTTCAAGTGAATGTATGCTTTCCTTTCCCTCATCCCATCTTTGCTCTTCTTGTCCATACCTGTGTAAATTCCTTGTGGAGCTGTTGCCCCAGCCCTTATAGTTAGACAGGGAGCAGTGAATATTGCAGGATTAAGAGGAAGGGAGGTAAAAAGCTTTTATATATTGCCACTGAATATGGTCCAAGAACTATATACCATGGCCTGATAACCCTGAGGAATATCTGCCTTTGTCCTGGTCTACCTGTATGTCTCAGCCACACAGCTTGTAGCTATTAACTGTTTGCATCCCTGTGTGGCACAGACCTGTGCTTAGCTGTTTCTGGTTAACTGGTCAAAAACCATGGAAGTAGTTGTGTCATAAGGTAACACCTGATGTGATGTGTTAGCCAGGGCTTTGTTGGTTGTAAAAGGGCTAGTCATCAGTGTTGATGTGTGTCCTCTGTATGTCCTCTTCTCCCTGAAGGATGCCTTTTATGTCTGGTCCTGCAAATGGGGTTCTGAAACAGTTGGGTGGATGCAGATGCTCTCACAAGGGACTGCCTTGCTTATGAGTCTCCAAACACTTTCCTGGTTACTGAAGGTACTTTATGTCTTGAGTTATTGGTTACTTTGCATTTTCAGCAAAACAATTTGAGTTGTACAAGCAATTCCCTCTCCCCACCTCCCACACTGGTGAAAATACCTCCCTTTTGGTCAGAGAGCAGTGAAGTCTGTCTTTCATCACCCGGTGGTTTTTTTGCAGATTTGCCAGTTTTCTTGTGATGGACATTCAGCTTACTTGATTTTCTATACAAAAGTGGAACATTTTTTTAAATTGTGACTTGACAGGGGCTGGGAAACCCAGCTGTCTGTGTCCTCCTGGCCAGAGCATTGCAGTGTGCTGGGTACTGGGGGATGAAGGACCATCTGCTTGGCTTAAAAGCAGCTTCTTGTGGGAGATGCTTTGGTTCTGCCCAGGGATGTAGATTTTGATAATAGGAGTGGCATCTTGAGAAACATAGGAACTTTCTTCGAGTTGGAGCAGACCTAATAGCCTCCAAGATGCTAGAGGAAGTTTCTTTGGAATCCAGAAAAGATTCTGTGGGGCTTCTTCAGTGCTCACAGTTGCTGGATTTGGGCAAGACTGGAGGGGAAAAAAAATCATTTTCTGTCATGCACTTTTCCTCCAAGAAAACATGACATTTGTGGTCAAGCAACTCTACTTTGTTGACCTCACATAGTGCATTTTGGTTTCTATTTAGAAGTTATTTTATCTGACAAATAAATATCTACAGCAGAATAAATAGGTCTCTACAGTAAAATACTAACTTCTTGATTAAAAACCCATAGACATCTATGGTCCATCTTGCTGTCATGAAAGGGTAGAACATATCTACCTCAAGTCTCATGCTGGGTCTTGTTGAGCTGCTCCTTAGTGTTTCTTAACTGAGACCACAGGCAGAAAATGGGAAAAATGACAGAGCTGTCTGCAGCCTCGGAAACTGGCAACATGGACCTGGATTCTGACTCTACACTGAGGCTCAACTTCAGATAATTACAGGTGTAGCTGCCAATAAGCTGAGGCACATTTTCTCACTCTTTGCAGCTATTTTGGTCCTTAGAAGTACAACCAATTTCTTTCTCCTGCTTTAGTTACAAGCATGAAAATAGTATTTGTGGTAAAACCCCCTCCAAACCATTAAAAACTGTGGTATGGGTTTTATAAATTTAGAGACAAACTAGCTGGCTGCTTAGACAATTGGTACAATCACAAGCTCCCATAATAAGAATATTTAAAAAAAAAGATATAACAATAATTTTTAACTTTGTAGGAAAGGTAAATAATGGATTAATTTTGATCTCTAAAACAGACAAAACCTTTCTTTCCCCCCTATCTTTGTTAAGTTAATCTGGTTAAAAGCTGTCCTATAAAATGCGTTAGCTTTCCCCCTGTCATCTCAAAGTCTTTACCCTGAAAGCATGTCTGTATGTGCTAAACTTCACACAGCCTGAGTATTCCTTTTGAGTTCAGTGGATTAATTCAGAGACCACAATGTTAGCATGCATCACTTGCAGGATTGAGGCACAGGCTAACAGGAAAAAATTTCATGATGGAGCACTGCAGACTTTTAAAATGAACTGTTGAGAAAGAGCCAAACTGTGTAATTTTTTACTGAGGCCATCAAAAAGTTTGGTCCATGGACAAACAGATTTTACTTTCACTTGAGGGTGTTCGAGCAATACAATAGGCAGAAATCAACTACAATGACTATCTACTACAAATCCTATCTAAACAGTAGAATTTTAATACTTTTAGATTGTCATTGTCAAAATTTATCTAGCATTCTTTTCTCATTACACTATATTAGTTTCTTTAATATGCTTTATTAGTTTCATATAATGCAGAAACATAAGTGTTCACTGAATATTTCCCTGTCTAGACAGTGATGTGTGCATTTAAAAAACAAATAAAATACTTCCCAGTAGTTTTCCAAGAACTGTATTGGAAGAGAGGGAGATGATGTTTCTTTTTTCTTCTCAGAAAAAATAGGAAGAGACTAACCTCTTAGTGATCTTGACAGCCCAGTCTGAGAGTTCACAATATTTGTGAAGAACTAGACGCAAAAATACTAAATTTATTTCTTTCTGTTCTTATGGCGATGAGAACTAGTGATCTACCCATTTTCTGCTGCTGTTGGACATGATCTGATGGAGATGTGCTCAGTGAATGTGCTGTTAGCACTAGCATATCTTGGAATCAGATGCTTGGACTAGGGCTACAGTTGGACTGGTTGTTACTCTAGCTCAGCATCCTGCAGGGATGCACCTGATAAAATGCATGACAGCAGGTGTGAGAAATCTTGCAGCAGGAACCTGTGACATAGCTAACTTTGAGGGGTTTTTTTTTGCTTTCCTGGGTATGAGTGATTTTCCTTGAAGTTACTGAGACTGTGTACTGCCTCTCCTGTAGCATTCTGTAACCAGTGCCAGAGTTACGTCTGCCAGCAGCTCTGGGAAATGCTCTTTCTCCACCTCATATTTCACCTGAGCCTGCAGTAAAGGACAGAAGTCTTGAAGTGGAAAATGGTGCACATAATAATTTTGTAGTTTTATTGGTATGAAGATTGAAAATGAGTGCCTATCCAGCATGTTCAAGCATCACACAATCACTGTATCTCAGGAGGGCTGAGATTGGAAAGGGCCTCTGGAAAAGGTGCAGTCCAACCTCCACCCCAGCTTCCAGCAGGGTCAGTCATACCATGGCCATGGTCATTGCTCATGTCCAAAGGTCTGTGTATCTACAAGAATGGATATGCTACAACCATTCTTGGCAACCAGTGTTTTATCACTGTCACAGTAAAATATTTTTGCATATGTAGGAGTGGAATTTGTTATATTTCAGTTTGTGCCTATTGTTTCTTATGCTGTCACTGGGCCCTGCTCTGGAGTCTGGATATGTCTCCACTCTCTCCCATCAGGTCATATATCTCTTCAATTTAGCTATATTTTAAATATAGACAGATGTTTCTCTTTTTAAAATCGTCTGCTGAAGTGGCACAATAGTAGAAAGGATGTTTTATTGCAGTTTGCAATGAATATATATATGATTTATTTAAACTAGTAGAGGCTACCTCTGACCCATATAACCAAGATTTGGTACTAAATTAAGAACAATGTATTATCATATACCCACTGAATTTAGTGTCTCTTGTGGAGCGGGCAGTCTTTATCAAATCACAAACTCCATATATTGTGTCTTCTTAATGGTTCAACTTGGTGATGTGAGAGGTCTTTTCCAACCTTAATAATTCTGTGATTCTTTTACAAGGACTTTTAGTCTATGAACCCTGAATATATTGATCATGTATACAAGTCTGCTGCTCCACCACATGCAGGTACGTGCTTTCATAGTACAATAAAGAAAGGATCAATGTTTTTGTGATAAGGCACCAGAAAATTATTGTTATTTTTTAGACAGGTTGTATCTTTCCAAAGGACAGAGATGGGGGGCAGTTGATTAGAAAATATATTAAGATCTGTATTGTTTGGAAGGAAAATATTTCCTGCTGTTATCCAGTAAGGGACACTTTGTGCCTGTAGCTGGATCTTGATTCTGAATCCTTTTGGTAGTGCAGTGCTCACAAAGAAATTAGTAGGAAATGGGGGTGTGAAACAGAGCACGACGTGTGCAGACCTACAGCCAACAAAGTACAAATCTCGCTAACTGTGCATTCTTTTGGCACTGATATATTGTAGGCAGAGAAGGTGTTGAAAATTCTAAAATTACAGTATGAGAGGCTTTTCTAGGAGGTGTAAGTTTATTAGCAAGTGAGTAAATAGTGTATTGTGTTTGACACAAATAGTAGAAGACATGGTTTATCCATCAGCTCAGTGTTATAGCCTGTGTTATAGATCAGGAAAAAAGAACTAGTTGCGTGTTTTGTTTTGACACTTCCAAAACTTCTTGCGGAAAAAGGAATAAATGTGGAGGGTGCCTTGGCTGTGGCCATTGCCCACAAACCTTCTCTCAAACAGCTCTATGTGGGTAAAAATACTTTCAGAACAAGGAGAATTTTGTAGGGAAGAGCCCTTGAACATTCAACACTTAGATTTATACTGTTTCCCTTCTTCATGAATTCCAGCCACAATCTTCTACCTCTTGTTTTTGAACCACTACAGCTAGAAAAAAATATATTTTCAACCAAAAAATTGGATATTATTTCTTCAAGATACTTGCTATTAAAAAAAAATATAACTTAAAATAGTTAAAATGTTCACTTCTATCTCTTTGCATTAAAGAAATGTGATCATAGTGCCACAGGCCTGAGCTACAAAGGGTTTAATGAGCTGTAGGACTATCAGATCAGTGCAGAACATCTGTATATGAATTTCAGTTTCCAGCCTCCGTCAGGTATCACTTAGTGTGATTCAGATATTCATATCTAATCCTGCTTTCATCTGATCATACATAATCTCTCTGCAGCCTTCTTAACTTCAGGGTGCTTTTTGTTAATAAGGCCTGCAAGAGGTATTTAGGAGCTGGAATCTCTCTGCCTCCAATGGAAAAATCTCAAACTTGCTGGCAACATTGAATGTGGCATTTAAGTTATGCAAATTGGTACTTCTTAGCTTGAGAGATTTTTTTTTTTTTAAATCTCTGATACTACTATGTCTACCAAAATACATGCAGTATTTAGATCTGCAGGAGTGTGTACACTGTGAAAATGTACCATTATATAAGCCCATGTTCCCTGCAGTACTTATTCCTGACTGCAAACCAATGAGATTGAAGTCTAACTGTCATTGCTAAGAATCTTACATCTGCTTAAATAATCAAGTGTAAACTTCACTTTTGGTTATGTAGAATAAAAGAGTGGAAGCAACAGGTTGTGCTACCACATAATTTATGAAGAATAAGAAATTGTGTCTCCCATCCGGAAGCCATCTTCCTAAGTGCTGAATATTGTTGGTGGCTGGTTCAGAGGTCTTTCCAACTCCCAGCATTGTCACCAACTATCCTGGACAGGAGTCCTGCAAGGAACGGCTGTCCAGGGAGTCTCAGGCAGTTTCCCGCCAGGGGTAACTCTTATGAGCAGTCTGAGGCTTCAAATGATCAGCTCTTTTAGATGTGATTTCAGTTCTGTAGTGATCAGCTCAGACCAGCCCAGCTCCTCTCATGGGTTACCCCAGCTGTGCACAGATGAGAGATGGGAGACCGTGTAGCATTCCACGGGGTCCTTTATTGGCAGGCTTCAGCGAAGGGGTCCAGTGATGACTTCCACTGAACTGGGCAAAAGCTGGGGTTTTTATAGGGAAGGGGAGAACTGGGAGAAGGACCAATGGTCTGAGACTGGGGTAAAATGACCAATAGTTTACAAGGAGATAACATGGGGTCCCGAAGCAGCAAGGGGTCCACAGCTTAGTCATCATGACTAAGTAGTTTTTTCTTATCTTGGGGGACAGATCTCCAAGGAGGGAGCCTGTTGGAGGACTGCCCTTCCTCCACACAATATAACTTGCTTTGAATAGCCTTATGCTTTCAGTTCAGTTCATGATAAAGTATTGAAGAGTTTGGCTAAGAGTTGTGTACTGCATGACTGTCCCTGCTGTCAGCAAGGAGGAGATTGAGCTGTATGTGACTGCTGCTGAGGACATCTTACAGAGGGCATGCTCTGTGACTTCTCTACACTCTTCCCTGCCAATATTGGAAGGATGAGGCTTCATCACCAGAAGATTATGGAGAACTGTGATGTGCTCCAAGGGGACTTCATTAGACACTGCTGGGAAACATACTCTTTTGGAGAATTTGAGAGCAAAACATAAAAGCTTCTTGTTTCCCAGGGGAGAAACAAAGGGCTGAGAAAATGGTGGGATGAGGAAATGTTCCATGAAAGGTGGCCTTTGTCAGCAACTTTCACCTCTTGATTGATGCTGGGCGTTGGAGTTACTTACACAAACAGAACAAGCTGCATGGCATTGCACTTTGCTGACTTTAACCACAGCAGGTTTTGCCTTTTGCATGTTGTGAGCAGTTTTTGATCAGTGAATTGAGACAGATCACTCCTGTTGAAAAGTATGCAGTGAAGAGGTAAAAACATCCTGTTACAAGAACTGAATCTACTACTCAATCAGTAATATCTGTAAATTAGTAAATTTAGGAGAATATAAATTTGCTCTGGCAGAAAGTATGCCTAGACCTGTTGTAGCAGTTAAGCACAACAGATTAGTGGTTTAATTTACTGGCAAACGTGTAGCCCATGGGTTCTAGTTTGCTCAGCCGTGGGAAAAGCCTTGGTTGTCAGTTCTTCTTCTTGCCAGGGGAGAAGTGACGACAGCTGAAGATTTATTTGTCTGTCACACTTCCCTCCTATGAATGAGGAAGGAGTCCAAAGGTATGATTAAATAAGCAGAATTACTTAGAGGAGATATGTGAAAGGACAGAGGAAACTGAGGTAGAGCTTTGCAAAAGCTAACCTAACTGGTGGAGAAAGAAACTTCCCAACAGTGACAACTATACAGAGACCAGAGAGCAGAGATAGGAGACTACTCCTGCTGGAAAAGCAAATCACTATGAGACAGCAAGAACTGGGAATAAGGCAGATAGTCCTCAGAAGACCAGGAGTGTAGTTTTCTGCTGAATTCAGGATTGTGAACATAACCAGTATAGGGAACACTGCCATACAACTTGTGTCTTGAGTTCTTTTATGTAGCCTCTATTTGAAAATACTCAGACAGATTTTACCATATGAAAAAAAAGGCAGATGATTTGGTACAAAATGCAAGCAGTTAAGATGCTTTTGTATCAAACTTTATCCTGTTTTCACACTTACCTGCTGATGTATTACAGCTATTACAGTAGTTGAAGGCTTTCTTCATAGAGTTGCATCATAGTGTCTCTTGAGTGGTGCCCTGTCACTGTCCTTATTCACTGAGCACTGCAGGTAGCTGGCTGAAGTCTGCTTCCCAAGCGTTCCACAGGAAGGTTAGGACTACACAGGCAGGAAATTGGACTTTTCTGGGAAGGGAGAGCTGGTATGCAAGAACAGGCTCTTTAGAGAACCCTGAAATTAACTTCCTTTGAATCGAAGACCCAATAAATTGCACTTTTTCTCACATTCAATTGACTTCTCTGAATCAAAGCTTACCAGCATGTGTGTATATACACATTTCTAAATACAGGTGTAAACACAGAAAGTACCCTTGTCCTCATACTCAGCTATCCTTTGCAGCACCCATGTATGCTCAGCACACTGTTTGAATTCACTCATTTGTACGCTGATAAGGATGGAGTAAGAAGTTGCACAGGGCAGAAGAGACGTCTGCATTGGACTTGAATAAATCTTTCTAATCCAGGCTGTGAGCTACAGAAGTATTATCAAATTAAATATTTTATTATGCAGTAAATCACTGCAAACGTTCAGAGTATTACCTTTAAGATGAATGCAGCCCCATTCTTTTAACAACAAACTAGACATAATTTAAAGTTAGTGCTATATTCTGTGGCTAGACTATTATTTTTTCTTTTCGTGGCCTGGACTGACAGAAAGCTGTGTGGAGATAGATAACATTATTCTAAATCTAAGGAATTAAACCTCGTAGGGGGTCAGACTGTATTAACTGGAGTAGTAGCAACTTGTTGAGAGTACTGACCTGAGCTCTTGTTGGCTTGGAGCAGGAAGACAACTCAATTCTGCCTGACTGAATGACACCCAGCACACAATTTAGCACTGAATCTGAAAGAACTTTCCACAACTGATTAGATGCCTTATCAATATCTTTCTTCCCTTTGGGAAGTCTGATTTTGCAGCTTAACATTAGGATCTAAGAACAGCCCAAACATGCTCCCCTAGCTGATATATCTACTTTATGCCCATTGACACAGATCCCAGGAACCAGATGGTTGCTTATGTATTTGTTCTTACAAGTCCACTTTAAAAGACTTCATGTTCCACATTGGCAAAGAGGGACAGAGAATTTTGTGTGGGTGATTTTACTGAGCAATCACTTGAATAGAAGGAGACACAGGGATATAACCATGCAAGCTGTAATTTTTCCTGTTTTATGCTACAATAACAGGGGGTTAAAAAATAAGTTTGTGGTGTGGGGCAGAAACAAGTTCTGATTTTAAATAGCATGCAGACTTCTGGACCACCTTAGTCTGAAAGATAATGAGCTGGATGGCTAGAACAAAACACAAGAAATTTTGTTCTAAGTGAAATATCTTGACATGTAAAGATATCACATACATACATTTCCCCTGATCAGTCTAACTGTCATAAAATTGTGCTAATATTGCATCTATGCTAATTAGTCCCTTACTGCCTTTCCACCTCTCTTGTATAGTACCTGCCTAGGAGTACCTGGACTGTCCCCTGCAGCACTGATGACAGCGTGACCTGCCATGCAGCCAGGACATATGAGAGAGAGCCCAGGTGTGCCACCACTCCTGGGGCATAGGGCTCTGGTAAGCTCAGTTGTGTCCAGGAAGCTGTTATGACACATGCATCTTCCCTTTCACCCTCATCTCTATCAAAGGAAATAAGACATTTCAAAACAGAGGCTCACATGGGCTAGTGGATCAATGTAAAATCTCTTCTTTTGGTTAGAGTCTAAGAAGTATTTTCAGCCCTGCATTCTCATTCTCTCTTTTTTTTCTTTTCTTTTTACTGTTTTTTTTTTTAGTATCTCTTCTGAGAGAGCTTAAGAAAGAGCCTTTAATTAGCAAGTAAATGAAGTCTCTTGCCACTAAGGAGTAGATTTAGAAGATCCCTCTAATTACTGGAACCAGATTGATTGCAAATACCAGTTTGCTACCTGTTCCAGTGAAATGAGGTTCTTGTAAAATGTTACAAAAAGCTTTCATTTGCATCATCCCTCCACTCCAGCCAATGTTGCTATTACATAAAGGGAGGACTTGTTTAAATCCGTATGTTCATGTAGTTCAGTTGTTTGAACTGGAGAGGCAGAAGAACTTTCTTACTGACATTTTTCTAGAACTCCTATCGAGCTGTTTTTCTTGTCTAACAGAATTACAGAATCATTTATGTTAGTAAAGACCTCTGAGATTATTGAGCCCAACCTTGTCAACTAGATTGACATTAAGTGCCATATCCAGTCATTTCTTGAATACAAATCTTCCAAGTAATCACTGAGAGCTCCCAATGTATTGCTGTTTTCCTCCCATGCTTTGCCCTCACTACTTCAATATATAAAATTATCTTAACTTCCCTTAATGCCCACCCTTTTTGGAATCATCTAGTTTAAATTTACCTTACCTGTTTAGTATGAAACAAGTCTTCTCTGCCTGACTGCATGAGGAAGTCACAAGTCATTAACAGCTGTGTTAAACTACACGGTGGTAATAAACAATCTCCCTACAATGATATGTCTTGCTAAGGTGGGAAAAAAATATACTGAATGCTGCAAACTAAGAATGATGATTGATCTTGGAGATAGCTGAAGGACTTTGCCCTGTCCCAAAAATAATTTACAGTTGCCTGGAGAAAGTCCAAACTAATATCAAATACTTTCATTTGAAATATCAGCTCCCCTCCAGAAGCAGCTTCACTGGAGTTGCTTGCTATCAATGCCAGAAGGTATTGTTAGAACAGGTTTGACCAGTTACTGCAATTCAGAGAACTGTTTAAATAGTTATATACTAATGTTGCTGGATAAATCTGTGTGAAAGTACCCCTATTGCTTCAGTCACCACCACAGTTTTCTAAGATCAACCAAGATTTTTTTGGTAAGATAATTCTGATCCAAGAATTACTGAGCAGCATTGGTGCCTGAGTTTAGCCCAAACACTGTGTCAGCAGCAGCAGTGCCCAAATTCCCAGCTCTACAAGTATGGGATTGAGAACTACTAAGGGAGCAGGAAGAAAATGTTTAACTGAAACAGGTATGGAAGAATACGAGATCCTGTGACTCTTCCTGCAGGAGAATGCTCTCCTGCTCTTTCTCTTTCTCTTGCTTCAGAGAGTGTCTCAGTCAGCTCTGCTTTTAGTTGTAATTTCAAAACAGCTAGTAATGAGCTGTGGAGAAGGCTTTCAGCTTTTAGTAATGACCAAATTATAGAAGGAAGGGATAGAGAGGATCAATAGCTATTGATCAGGAGCAATTCACAGACAGAGAGGAGAGCAGTGTGGAGGCATTCAGTAGTAGGAGGAGAACAACAGAGAAGATCCAGTCCTACTGGGGTTAACAGTTTCAGCATCTCTATTATCAAATACAACAAAAGAAAAATGTAATCTGTTATTACTGTAATACCATATGCCAATATTTATTACCTCACAGCATGCAGATGTTTCAACCTATGCCCAGAGCAAGATGTCCAGCATAAGAAACAAGAATACAAATGTTTTCAGATGTCAGAGCATAAGTAAACAGTGGAAAGATCAAGTGGAGTTACATTTCAGGGGCTCTGCTGTTATAGTGCTCTGGAGGAATTACAGACATCAGGCTATCGCTATTGATTCTCAAGTGCTTATTATGATGCCTACTGATGCATTTCTGGTTCTTTTCTTCCTCTTTACTGGAGAATATCATGGGAATGTTCTATTTTCCTTCTTTCTCCAAAATATGCTCAGAATCAAACAGACTGAAAGCAGATCAGTGGATACATCACCGTCTTACTTGGCCTACCAGCCAGGTATTGGCAATGACATCTGTCTGATTTTATCTCACAGACCACTTCAACAAGCACTTGAGGTCCTAATATATTATTCCAGGCTTCATATTGCAGAGATTGATGCGCACTTTAGTGTCAAAAGAGTAATGATCAAGTTTTCACTGGAGGAATGTGCTGGTTTTATATTAATTGATTTTTTTGGTGAGGAGGAAGTGAGCCAGCCACGGAAGTGATTTTCTAAGAGATACTGCTAAGAGCTTCCTCTGTGCCCGGCAAAAACCAATTGCTAGTTGTCTCTCAGAATAGGCATGCTGATGACCCAGTTAAAGAGCTGAACACGCCTCTGTGAGGTTCACATTTTAAACCAAACAACCCTAGAAAAAGCTCTCTTCCTTCCGGCTTTTGAAGAGAGGAGTTCCCTGCCGCGGCCTGGTGGGGCTGGGCCGGGCCGCGGCCGCTGCCATGCTGCCAACACTCATCCCAGCCCGCGCTGAGCTGGGGTGTGCCGGGCCCGGGAGCAGCGCTGGGCTGGGCCACAGCATGGGCTCCTGAGCGTCTGCCTGGCCATTTCCTGCTGCCGCTGGGTTCCCACACAGCCCCTCAGCGTGGCCGCTGGAATCATGCTGAAAAGAGCCGTCCGGGTACCACAGGAGGTTATGCAGCCGAAATCAATGCTGCGAGCCTCCAAGGCCGCTCCCAGTGGGAATCGCAGGAGCAACTGCGAGAGGCCAGTCCCTCATGCAAGGCTTGGGTAAGATTAACTCTTTTAGTGCACAGATGACACCTGTAGACCTCAATCCTCTCTAGAGTGAGAGAAATGGAATGACTGAAGAACAGCATGAAGACACAAAGGTCAGTGAAGAAGGAGTCAAGTCCCAGATGGAAGGAGAATGAGGAGATGCCTTAGTCTTGGGCTGAAATTCTCTTCTAAGACTAGGCTGAAGATATGATCAATACATCAGACTTTTTCCCTGTAACTCATGGAATGTATTTTGGGGGAATATAGTTCTAACCACAGCCATGAACAGAGGCATCCACACTGAAGCATATGTTGGAGTAGGTGTGATCCAAATGAGAAGTTTGAATAGAGAGAGGTAAAGGTGATGAAGACCCTTTGCTCCCAGGGAAGAAGAAGGAGAAGACCTCTGTTCTTGGAGCTGAAGATAACCTCAGAGATAGATGAAGAGAACCTTTGTTTTTCAGCAGCACATCCTTAAAATAGCACCCCAATAAGCTGGCATGGCCCATGAATGCAGCTGTGGGAAGGCTGAAAAAAGATGGGAGGAACTTCACCATTGCAGATTTCCAGATGGCTGCTGTTCATGGAAATGAAAAGCCACAAGAGAACTGTTTCTTGTGGAGAAGTCTCCATGGAATGGCAAGAGAGACTCCTCTCCATAAGAGAACTGAAGAAAGATTATTCTAGAGGTGGTAAACTGAAAGTCCCAGGTTTTGTCTCTTTACATTGTCAGTGGTAAAGAAAAGAAAGTGTGGGGGGAGTAGAGGTGTTCTGAAGGTTTATTCTGATTTCTTAGTTTTCTTTTAATTTTTTTAAATAAAGTTTTCTGTATACCTTTTAAAGTTTGAGCCTGCTTTGCTCTCTGCTTAATCCTATATCAGAGCAGAAAATGAGTAAATGATTCTAGTAGATGCGCTGGCATTTGGCCAGCACAAAACCCACTATATCTAATTGATGCATTGGCTGGGAAATCTCAGATTGGCAAACCAAAACCACTACAAGGAAGAAAAAGGCTAACTGCTGAAACTGATTTTCTTAGATAAAACAATAGCAGGAAGGTTAGTGGCTTAGTCTTTGGGCTCATAAATCTCTAGAGTTGACTGAATTCTTGTTTCTCATATGTAAACTGCAAATGGGTTTCCCAGTTGTGTGGTGTTAATACAGCAGAACTTCACGAGAGTTCTTCATGTGAAGAAGTCACTGAAGATAACAGGTTGCTGTACATCATCTGATCTGCAGGTTCCCATACCTGCTTCTCCTCCATGGCCCGGGTGAGTTGGTTTGAAATTTTGTGCCTTTTGATGAAAAATAGGTGAACCAGTTTTCATTTGCCCAGTGATATTGTGAGATGAAAACATCCATAAAGGGGTGTTTAATGTGGGAAAAAATTGACTACTAGCTTACTGTCCAGTGACTACATGTTATGTGTCCTTCTCCACAGGATCAACCACTGGAATACAAAGCAGAGTTCAGAAAATTTTAATGCCTGTGACAGCTGTGCTGTGTTGCATTTATGTCTCATGTGCAGCGGTCCCTAGTAGTGGTTAGTGCTTCAGATACAGATGTGTACTTCTGGGGCTGTTAACCCAGCTGACCTGGAGAAGATCACAAAAACAGCAGCCACCACAATGCCTGCTGTGTCTCATTTAGTATATTGGCTGCCAGTAGTCCTGAAGCATATACTCCATACAAAGGAAAGCACAAAGAATACCTCAGCTCTTTGAATCTTTTAAAATACTGCAACTATTAACATCTTAAAAATTTGCTCTTGCTTAGTCCTATCCTAATTGTGATCAGGCTGGCTAGATAAAGTATTGGCCTTTCATCTATATAATATGCTTTTGGCCTGAGGCAAAGCTAGAGTTGTTCAGTAATGTCAGAACAACCAAACTAAAATAAACATCCACTTCTGATGTAATTTCTCCAAGGCTTTTCCTTTGTGTGTAAAATATTCAATCTAGCTGAAAGCTGTGGTAACCTCTTCAGGCAGTGCCTTTTGCTTTCCTTTAGAAGAAGACTATTACAAGGATTATCAGTTGAAGTGACAAGGTGCTTATTCTGCTCTCATTTCCACCAGCCTGGATCAGGACTAATTCTATTGACTTCAAGGATTTAGTCGCTGTGAGGGAAGAATGTGGGTGAAAAGGTGCTCATAAGGCTGCAGCAGCATTTTGATGCCGATTAGCATTGTTAATCACTAGCAATCTGCTGTTGCCAGCCAGCAGCTTTCTAGAAATAGCGAGAGTGCTCTAAGCACAGCAACAATCAAGAGTTCACTTTCGTGAGGGAAGTGCCATTTAAGGCGTATTTGGTAAAACGTATACCAGAGTCCTTCCCTCCTTTTGTATTAGCTTTTTAAAATCCACTTCTGTTCTGTTTATATGTTTCTCAAGCATTGATCTTTACAGTGGAGTTTAACATTTCACTTCCTATCTTACTTCCATCCTGTCAAATAAAGTTTCAAATTACTGCAACCACTTGTCCTTTCATGATCAAAGTGATAGACTTGTGTTCTCAAGGTTTCTTGGCAACATGTCAAGAACAAACCCTCCTTGGGCATAATATATAATAATATAATATAAATGCAGGGATATACTTGTTTGAAGAAGTGATAGCTGCATATATTTTAGGAAGACTACGAGAAATACAATTTAAGAAATACAAGAAAAACTAAAACCAGACATAGAGGTTCTTAGTTTTGCTAGAGGGAAACAATAGATTAGTGGACTGTAAGATCAGATAGGACCTTATGATCTCTAATTTGACTGGCTGTATAATTTAGGCTAAATAATGTTTTTTAGTATTTCTTGCAGTGTGATTACTTGTGCCCTTCATAAGCTTTTCCAGTTAGTGATATTGCTTAGTAATTTATGTAAACTCAATTGCAATAATATAAAATGCAGAGTAATCTACCAGCTATTTTTCTGATTTCATATGCTGTGGGGTCAGTGACCTGCAAAACCTTTATGATCCCTGTGTTGTGAGAAGAACACAAGGGCTGAAGTCACAGTGCCCTCTGAGTCTCAAGAAAATCTACAGGTCAATAACCTTTTATTTCTGACCTTTTAACTGGCTCTAGTGGTCCATGAAGACTGAAATGCCAGTTCTTTCAGATTTCTGGGAAGCTTCAAGCCTCTTGAATCTAATTCTCTCTGAGAGTTTTGCTCTCATATATTCAGGTCACTGATACTGCAAAAGCAACTTGCAACCATGTGGAAAGGGGAAAATTTGGGGCATCCAGGGTTGGGTAGCTAGTGTTACACAATGAACTCAAGGCAGTAGTGTAGCTCGGGAGCCACTCTTCTGCTTGAGGGTAACTCATAGCTTGGTCTCACCTAACCATGCCTTTCCAGGGAGAACAGGTATGCAGATTCTCATGTGTTTTATCTGGATGAGGCAAGTCCATTCACTGGTCTCAGAGCAGCTTCTCTCCCACTCTGCTATGTTCTCCGCTATAAACTCCACTACTTCCATTTCAGTAATTCTGTCTTTTCCTTTCTTTCTAAGAATGGCTTGTCTAACTATGCTAAAATAAACCATCTATTCTCCTAACTTTTCCATTAATGTCTGTTTTGTAGGTTTCCAAATGTTATAAATTGTCCAGGATTGTTCTGAAGAAAACTTCAAGATACGCTGACTTGAGGGATTGAGGGCTGAAACCCTAATTTTGTTCAACACCACCAACATGCAGCCACTACTGGTGACAAGAAAGGCCGTTTCCCCTCCTTTTTTTCTTTCTCCCCACCTGAAAATCATCTTGAAATCAGATAGGATCCATGTTTTAGGATCTCCTCTACTCCACCTAGGAGAATGAAAATCAAGGGCTGTTGCAAAGGCTGAAACCAGGAGTTGACTTCTTCGAGACTTGTCTCTTGTTCACTTTTTGAACATGTGCATGCAGATGCACATACATGTACATCCATGCTGAATGGGGATATACTGTCATTCAGAGTCATACTATTTTTTTCTGCTTTTCCTTCACTATCAGTTGCAGAAACCATTGTCATGTGCAGGGTAATGGTGTCTCTTCTGTCTCAGAGAGAAAGGTAGAAGGAATACCAGTCTCCGTTGATTGCTCCCAAGCAAATGTATGAAGGAATATGAAAGAATCACCAGAGACCTCTCTCAAAACCCAATCCTATCAGACACTGAGGCTGAAACCTTGCTGGTGTTGCAATTGAAGGATGTTCTGCAGAGCACAGAGGGCCAATCACTTGTGTGCACTCAGGTGTATTACAGGTACTTTGTAAGTGCCTACAGCAGTACTGGTGTAGAGGGAATAGCATTCCAGAATTATGGCTGTAATTTCAGAACAGATCAACTGCTGACCTATGCTCCTTTGCTGGCTGTTCTGCAAGGCCTTTTCAATATAAATATGTGAAAAAGACTGTGCTGTTATACCTGAAGATTTCCTTAAAACGGAGAAGTTGAATCCTATTTGAAATTTAAAAATTTACTTCCCCTTCATCTTTGTGCTTTGAGATAACTGGAACGTGTATTGAGCAATGTTGTGGAAGATTAGGAAAAGTTATTTTTGCCATTTAAAGAGACTGGGATTTCCTGAGCACTGGCCAGCCCTACAGGTCTGAGTGCACTGTGGGACTCTGTGCTCAAAGCTGCTCAGGCAGGAGGTATAGTGAGTGTAGGCACTGCCTTCAGCGCAGTCATTCCTGATGGCTTGTAAGGAAAAAGGCAGCCAGCTTCACTAGAGCTGTCAGGAGCCTGGGGTCAGAATGACTGTTCCACATCCTGCAAAATTGCCTGCTGTGGCTGTTTGGGAACTTGTTATTCATAAGGCTCAAGTAGACCAAGATTCTACAGTTGCAGCTCTGGGTTATTGGTCACTGGAGAATGTCATAAGAGTAATTAATTGATCTATTCAAGTTTTGCTGTCTGGGTCACTGAAAACCAGTTAATTCCTAGGGAGTGTTTTAGGGCCAATGATCCTAAAACCCTTTTCTGATGCACTAAACGCCTGCAGGAGTCTCATCTGTGACAGCTCAGCGCTATGTTTCCTTCCTTTTCTGGACTGTGGGCATGCTGGAACAGGCTAGCGTAGGCAGCAGTCTGTCCAGGCTTATGGTTGCAGTTGTTGGGCCAACTCATGGACTGAAGCATGACAGACACTTTCCATCTTTATACACCACCTCCTTATGGGTACACAAAGCATGACATTTAGTTTAATTGAGGAACAAATCTGTTTAGTTCTCAGTATTGTATCAAGGACCAGATCTTCTTTGGAATGCTCTTGAAATAATCTGGATCAACTGTCAAAGTAAGATAACCTCAAGGTACTTGGTTTCTAATTGCTATGATTTTTTAAATGGAGATAGGTATATCTTGTACTGGCCCAGACTTCTGTTTATGTAGATAAAGTCTAAATCAGGGCCTCCTGAGATATATCACAACTTTTCCATGGACTTTGGTGGGATGCCAGGAACATTGCTGCTTGAGACAAACTGCTGCTACCTAGGAAAAAACCTGGGCTTAAACTTCAAGGACTTGCACACACAGTCAACGAGACTTTATTTGCATGACAACCTCAATGGTATCAGCAAAATGTAAGGATAAACTTCTGCTTATCTCCTTTGTAAGAGAAAATTCTTAAAAAGATTGAGTTGGACAGTTTTTCCATAATAAGAAATATTATTGCAAAATTCTGATTTATTGGAAAGGAATCTTTCTTGAGAAACATAGCAACTCTGTTGAAGACAGCTAGCAAAGGCTTCTCACAAAGGATTGGAGCTTTGAGTGGGTGCCAGATAAAAGGGAGAGGAAGAAATGGAGGAGCACACACATCTGACACTACTGGATCAGATCAAAGATCCTATTTTTTGTCAGGTTGAATCTAGATGCCTATGGAAAGAGGTTAAGAACATGGAATACATATGGTGAGCCTTCTTTGCATACTCTCCATTGAAAGGCAATGAGAAGAGAGAGAAGATGAGCACATTCAAGTCAGACAGCAGCCCTGGGGTAGTGGCTCTCACCATCAGGTCCTGAGCCTGGCCTCAGATCAGGTGTAACAAAAGCTGCAGTCTGCAGCTTCCCTCACTTCCCAGCAAGTGAGTGCCATGGAGTGTCGCTGACAGTGTGTGTGTGTGCATCTTTAGCCTTTCATCAAACATTCATTCAGATTTAAAAAGAAAACATTTTCCAAAACTGTTCAGTTCCCCAGAATGTAGAATTTGCATGCTGTGGCCAGTCCTGGTCCTGTTCCACAACTCTCACATGCAATCATGCCAGAGTCAGAAGTACCTTTCCCACTCTGGTCGCAGAGAATTTTGTACAGGAGTGCTGTCTTGATCAGCTCCTTTGCTCTTCCCATCAGATCATCAGATAATTTTCTTCCTCATGCTCTTGGGTGTGGTAGTACTATATCAAAGAAGACCATTAGCACCTTTGATACAAAGGTAATGCAGAAGTGTGATCTGGCTAAGAGAACAGTACCTACTAATAATGAGTAAATATTAAGTGCAACATCTATCACAGTCTGGGCAATGATTTTCACAGGTCTATAATAAGTGGAAGCATACAAGGACTGGGAGATCTGGATTTCTCTTGCAAGCTCTGAGGCACATCCACTTGTGTTGCTACCTATTTTCACTGCTGGACCACCACACTCTTTCTCACCTCAGAGCTTGATCCCTTCCCCAGTGTTTCAGGTAAGACACTTCATTGGCCTGATGACATATGCTGAGTGTGACAGCAAGAAATCAAAGATTTTGAAACAATGAATTAATGTGAAATTATAGCAATATCATTTTACTTTTCTGTAGCTAATATCTTTGAGTATATATTTTCCTTTTGTGCTACATTTTATATAAGTAAGGGGCACAACAAGAAAATAAATATTCCCTTCTCCCATCCCCATTTGGCTTTTTTTTTTTTTATGCTAACTTATGCTAAATTCTGATGTGCATTCAGCAGCAGAAAAACAGTTTGAGGTGCAAAACTGAAAAGTGATATATTGCTAATCATGCAACAGCATAGATCTAAATGTCTAATTTCTAGCCAGCTTTAGAGTGACATTGTGAACCACAATATTGTTGGGCCTGTAGTTAATATATATAGTCTATAATTAATATACATTGATTATAAACAGTCTGCAAATGTATTGATTTTCCTGATTTCAAATAATGTGATACAGTACGGTAATGGGAAACATTGCAGTCAGAGGTATCCTTGATGTGTTTGTGCACATTTCTCTTCTTGAAAAAAAACTTTTGCTACTGAGGAGGCTTCTTCCTTGGTGCTGAGATGTAATACTCAGGTTTAACAGAAAGTGACAGGCAGACTGTCATGATGAAAACACATCACCAATACAAGAAAAGCCATTAGAAGTCTTACGTGTGATGTACATGTTCACATTGCATGGATGACTTGTCAGAGCAATGCAGGCTTAGAGAAGGCAGAAGGGCAGAATAGAGGTTAAAACAAGCTGAAGAGAGCTGCTGCTTGGGTACAGTGCTTTGGTAGTTTATCATGACAAAGTTAGGAATTTAATACCAACTTAAGTCCCACAAACTATGTTTGCCACTTTAGGTCCAAATGAGACTGGGAAAAGTATATGCATGGAAGAAGGTGATGTGGGGTAGCAGAAAAGGAAATTACTTGCTAAGGTTTCTGAGCCATGGTTCCTGCCTGCTCTGGCTGCAGTGGCTAAGGAGACTACTGTTCTTGTCTTTACAGCCACCCTCTCACCAAAAGATACCACCTTGCACAGCCCTGCCCACTAATTTAAACTACTGTTGAACTGCTTGGGTTCAACTTGGTGGGCAATCTTTTTTTTGTGATTTTCTGCTTCTTTAAAAGTGATGAAGCTTGAATGAGGACTCATGGAGAATTGAAGTTTTAGTCCATCCCAACCATTGCCATTGAAACCAATAAGAAATGTAAATAAAAGCCTAATACCCTGAAGTTATAAAAAATAAAAATAAAGCTTTCCATTTTCAAATTAAAAAAAAACCAAACCCAAACACCCCAAACAGAATAGTATAGCTTTCCTCATAGCATTTAGTAAGCAACATTGGCATCCAGGAGGTCTGCATATTTCTGAACTGTTTTATTCTGCATGGGTAAACTTGAGAAATTCAAGCCAAATTACCTACTTGCAGTCTCCTGCAAGACTTACACTATAGAGTCAGCAGAACTGACTTTGAATGACCAGTTATTTCTGTTGTTCTTGTGAAAAGCCTGTATTTTACCCAGCCTGCCCTTCTTCCAAATTGCCTAATGTAGTTTAATGTCACTCTGAAAATTTACTTTTAGTGGCAAAGATACCACCTTGTTATTATTGGTGGATTCCAGGAGTGCAATGACTAATCCTTTAGTCAGTTATTCCCCTGCACATTCTTTAAGTCTGTAACAATTTCACATCATATAATTCTTACTAGGACAAATGTGGCTGAGAGATAAGCCTTGGGAAAGAAGGTAGAGTTGCTGAACAATTTTGAATGAACAGCCTAACCTACACACATTGCCTCTTAGAGGTTTTCTGATTTGTATATTGCAATTTATGAATTAGATCCCATTTTCTTAAGACATGAGAAATGAAAGAAATGGAAAAACTCATTTGTTTCATATGCTTATGAGTTACATACTTTTAAGCGGATACTGCTGCTCAGTGCTGCTCAGTGCTGCTCAGTGCTGCTCAGTGCTGCTCAGTGAAACCAATTTTCTTTGATAGATTGCTCTGCTACTGTATTTGATTTAATTTCCCACAGAATAGCACCAAGTGAAATCTGTTATGGTTAAAATTGTAACATAACTTTTCCAGCACTGTCCTCATATCAATCATCTTGAACCTTTTTTTTTAGCGAAATAATACAGGGCCAATACTTATACAGGCCAAACCCAAGCAAATGCCCTTCTTCCCTCCATAAACAGCAAGAGGAAATGGAAGCTAAGAATTGAAACAATTCCAGCACAGGGACCCAACTGTTTTTATGTATGGTAGAGGTACCCTGCTTGCTCCCAATGAAAACTTTGTGAATTCTCTGATGGGAATAACCTCATTGTAACTGGTGTCCTGAGGTCATCCAATATTTAAAACCCATGTCTGGAGGAACTTGTAGATTGCTGGACTTTCTGCTCATTCTCTTCCAACTTGTTTGTGCATAAGTTGAGAGAAAGTTCAGATAAATTTTTAGGAAGATAACTTTTTGTAGGAAGCAGCAGGAAACTATCTCCATTTCTCAGAACTCAGCATGCTAGTAAGGCTCATTTTCTCTCAAATCCAGGGGTGCAGAAGTGAGTGATCACATGAGGTTTATCTTGGCTAATGTCTGGCTTTCTTCCCACTGAGAAATGGTTAGGAGGGAGCTGTGAGGTGACTGTAGTGGAGCCACCCTTGCCAATTTCCTTACTGCAGGATGAGAACAAAACTAGAAGGAGACACATAAATATGTAGTCACTAGATGACACAGTGAGAAAATGTCAAACAAAATTGCAGAGTTAAGAGTATAATGTTTTTCTGAGCTCAGATGAAGTCTTAATTGCTGCAGTTCATCCAGATAATCCTGCGAAGAAATATCCCACAACCCACATGATGCCTCTCTGCTTGTCCTCTGATTTCTGGTGACTCAAAGTATGCCCAGACTGGGCCTCCTTCTCTCCTGGGCTACGTAAGAAGTGTTTATGAATGTTCTCGTGCTCATATTAGTAGATATCTGGCTTCCCTGAGAGAAGGAAATATCTCTTTATATGGATACACAAATGCAGAGGTCACTAGAGGTAGGGTTTTCTCATATGAAGGGTGAATATTGTTGCAGTTGGGCTAGTCATTTGACATTTCATTGAACAGTATACTTCCAAAATGTACCCCAAAGTAAATTCACAAGCTTACTGAAGCAAATCATTAAATATCTCTTGTAATTTGGTGGCAGTCACACTGACAATCTGTTTGGGTTTTTTTGTGATAGAACACTTTATGATTTCAAAGAATCTTAAAAAGATAGGGCAGAACAAAGGAGTTTTAGTGTTTGGGTTGTTGGTTTGTTTTGGGTTTTTTAATGCATTTTTGCTCCCCATTTTTCCTCAACCTTTTCCTATGATGGACTTTGAAATTATTTGTCTATGAAACATTGTAAAGCTACTACTGGGATCTTTTAATATGTTTCCTAAAGGTGACTTTTCTCCTCAGCAGTCATTACCTTCAGCTATGTTTTTTTTCCTTTAGTGCTCCCCTTGCCATATATTTTTTATTTTACTGTATCTTGCCCATTCTTTGTTGGTATAATGATTGCTTACTTTGGAAAGGACTGCTGGCTATCTTGTATTTAGAATGAGTTGATGTGAAACTTATGTTCCACAGTTCTTTCGTTCCTCTTCTGGCCATGTCCCTTCATTGTCATGTTCATTTCCTGAATATTTGTTTTATCCACATGGTTGCTTCGCCTGAAACTTTCTTGAAAAAACTTGTTCTTTCTATTCTGTCTCTGCTGTTTTATCATTTGAATGTGAGTACCTTCCTTTCTTGTACTGATCTATGTCTGTATGTATATGTCTAGTATGTACTGATCTATAAATGTCTTGTATCTTGAAATACTCTTCTTTGTACTTGTGCAGTTTGTGTACAAGCAGGCAGACTCATTCATTAATCCATGATAATTAATTATCTTGGTTCTACAAAGAGCTAATTGAGAGCCAAAGTCTTATAACAATTTTGCTCTCACATTTATATCATTGTGCTATCTCAGCTCCTTTTGATGTCTAACAGATATGTTGAAATTTCCCCATCAATTCCTGCCACAATAGAAGAGTCTTACTGGGCATTTTTTTACATTGCGAATGATGTTTTTTTGTTGTTGTGGGTTTTGTTTTGGTTTTGGCTTTTCAATACAGCCTTTTTGTACTTGCATATTATCCACCAGTAAACATGTGATTCAGCAGAATTATGGGTTATGCAAGTAAAAGAAGGGTAAATTTATCCTAATGACCATTTTGTTCTGTTTTGCTGATATATGAAACTTTTATGCATATAAATTCTGTAATCTATGAGTTGTGCACACAGATAAACACTAAATCTTTGAGAGTTACTCAATTTAGAATGCTATACTGTTGAATTCTGTTTTGTCCTTAGATTGTTTGTCCCACCATATTTATATCACTTAACTTTTGGTCAAAACAGAGTCCAAAGAAGACCAAACTGGTTTTGATTACTGGGTTACATCTGGGCTCAATTACAATCCATAGGAGTTTTGCCACTGATTCCCTGGAATTAACTGAGCTATCTATTCAATAGTAATGTAGCTGATCAAAATACAACTGTTCTCTTATATAATTTCTGCCTGAAGGGTGACAAAATCCATTTCATTCTCTTCCTACATGTTTTGCTTTCTTCAGTAATCAGATCAAGAGATCACAGTACTTAGAAAACAATACTAATTCATGTAGATTCTGCAATCTCCACAGTCTCTTGTTGGCCCCTGTTCAAACCTTGCATTATTTGCTCTTCAAGAAAACATGAAGCTACCTGCAAACAACTAGAATACCCTGCCCGTGACTAGAAAAATGAATAGATGTGGTCAAACAGAGGCAGCACATTGTGTGAAGTGGAACAGTTTGTGCCTTTTGACTGGTTTTTCTTTAGCAGTGAATGGGGCTGGTAGAAAACTGGCGCAGAGGCATTTTCATGTGTCCTATATTTCTGTGTAATAGTTCCAGGTAGAGACACTTGGATACCTGAATCTGCCATTGGTATTGCACACACTCTGCATAGTTGCAAGCCTAGTAAATTTAATGTGTTTAGGTGGTGGAAATTATGCACCCAAATGTACTGCACAACACATCTGCTAGTCACAATGGCTTCTGGATGTACTGGAGAGTCTTATGTATATAAACGGCATGTTCAAATGGACTTTCATGTGGGACTTCAGGGCATAGACTGAGAATGTGTAGTGATTCTGGTCAGAGGCACTGTACCTGTTTTTCAACCTGGTTTAAGTGGCCACTAGCTGATTCTGAATTAATCTGGTGATAGAACCTAAATTGTGTTGGTACAATTTCTTTGTGCAGAACACCACTGATGTATCATCTGGGTGTGACTTTAGAGTAGTTTGAAAGTAGGTGTAAAAGCTCTTTGTCTCAAAAAGTCAGAGTTCAAATTACATGCTTGGCAATGTTACTCTGGAGGAGCTGTATAATCTCCAGTCTTACCAAACAGATTTCCTAAGAACTGATCTGATCTAAGGCCTCTCACAGCGGCTAAACTTATTATTCTGTGATATCTTACATGTTTGTGTAGCTGTGCTGGCTCATGTTATGGATATGGAAGGGATGATAATTGGCAGGAGAGCAGATAAGAAAAATCTTTTCCATCTGAGGATGTCATTCCATGTTTTCTTCAACAACAAAGTCAGCTTGGGAAATCTCTCTTCATCCTCAGCTCTTCATTCAGTCATTCTTTCCCACCCTCCTTTGCAGCCACCACCCTTCTAGTGGTGGTTGGAACATGCTGCAAACCAGGTTGCAGACAGGAGTGCATAGCATTAGCAAAGACACACAGGGCTGTGGCATAGCAAAGAAATAGGAACTGGAGCTTCTAAACCATCTTTGCCAAGTAGAAAATATGTTATGAACTGCATCCTTCAACATTGCTAATATAGCTATTCTCACGTGTACATGACTGCATGAACCATGAAAACAGTTGCCTGAGAAGTGCACAGTATACAAGACAGATATTTTGATGAACAACAGAAGCAAAGCAAGATGCACACAACCTTGGAGAATGTGGTAAGGCAGAATAGTAATCTGCTTATTTGGCATAGCTATGGCTTGGGATTTATTTAGGGGAAAAAGGAGGACTTGTGAATAACTTGATGAATTAGAAAGCCATTTTTGGTGTCTTGCCTATACATAGGCAATTGGATTGAAAAGACTCACAGAATTGGCATGATAGGAGAAAGAGAGCTGTTGCGGTCAATCAGGCAGCATTAATGAGTACACATGTGACTTGCTGTGAAACAGGTGCTATACTGAAAACCATCATGATTCTAAAATATTTACACAGTAAGATGCAAGACCCAATGCAGATGTGGTGGGTTACAGACTGCCTCAGAGATGACAAGTTCAAATAGAACTGTGCACTGATGGCTATCCAGCAACAAAATATTTACCTTAAAGAATTAGCTTTAAATTCACTCTGAATTCACTCCTTTTCAGAGTTCATACGCAAACCTCTGAGGTGTGTGTTGCTTGCCTCTCAGCTGTTAGAGGTATATTGGGTAATAGGCTCTTCAGTTTACAGTTTGGCAGGTAATTTTTCTCAGGGTACCTGAGCTATTTTTAGGTAATGCAGCTGGCACCTTTCTAGAGGTCTGATAATGGCTTAGGATGCTGATCTCAAGCCTGTGTATTCATTCCTTCTTCAAGGCAAGCAAAACTGTCAGGGATCAACAAGGAGATTTATGAGCCTCGCTGGAAGCAGCGGGTTTTCCTGGCATTGTATTCAGCAGGAACAGTGGGTGTAGAAAGGAATATACTCTCTGCTTACATGAGCCCTGTGGGGAAAACTTTTGCAGATAGTGACTATGGGAACCAATCCTTTAGTACTTCCTTTGCAATAAAATATTAAATATCCCCTCTGGAATGTGCCTGCAGACTGTTCCTGAGCATTTAGAAGTGTGGAAAATGATAACAGGAAATAAAAGAAGCCACCTCATTTTGGCAAGAACAGCATGAATTCACTTTTGTGAAGATGAAAGGGCTTCTCCACATGCTCTATTGGAAGCTTTGAACCAAGACTGTGTGTCAACAGCTGGAAAAAGGGCTCACTCCCCAATGTCACCAAGCAGTCTTTCTTCACTGCAAGCAATTGTCCCAAAGGAAGAGAAAATTTTCTGTTGAGCTTATGGTAGCAAAGCCTCTCCTTTCTAATTTCAGGCATTTTGTTTGTAAACAAAACGCCTGTTAAGACTTTGCTGGATTGCTAATGACCCTCTTTTGGTGACTGTAATCCTAGGCAGGAGATCAGAATATGTTTGATAATGTACAGGAACAGAATGAAAAGACAGTTGCTGTCCCCAAAATGCTTGTGCACTCTGGAAGTTAGAGAGAGAGCAGAGGCGTGTAAATGAGCAAATGAGCACAGTATCTTGCGGAAGCACATTCAGCATGACAGTGCACTCAGGCTCAGACTTTTGTTTGCATCCTGATGAGGAAGACTTCTCTAAAAACATTGAAGAAAGAGCTCTGTGGCTGTGCTTGGTGCACCTTCCAAGGATAAGGGCACCAGAGTCTAGCTGGGAGGTTCCAGCTGTAAGGGTGCAGTCAGGTTATAAGCATGCTATGCAAAACTAACATCATAGGAAAGGGAGGCTGCTGCTCATTCTGTTCTTCAGGATCCACTCCCACTTCCCATGGAAACAGCTGGCAAAACTCCTGTTGCACTGAATGGGGCCTATCAGAAACAGCAGAGGCCTGGGATAATACCATCCTTGATGCCATTTGTTGCATCTGCCAGGCATCTGGTAGGCAGCATGTCACACTGGCTTCCTGAGAGGCATCAGCTGCCAGGCTTGTGGTGCACACCTTGCTCTCTGAATCCCTGGGTTCCTGGATGGTCAGGCCTATTGCAATATGATATCAGCTAGTGCCTGGGTGGCTCCACACCAGCTGTGGTGCGTGCAGACTGCTCCTTGGCAAATATCAGTGTGCAGCTGAGGCTGGGGTTGTCAGACAGTGTGAGGGATGTTGTAGTGGGAAGATGCTGTAGGGAGCAGTGGAGAGAGAGGGGGAGAGAGGAGATAGGAGAATCTCCTATCGCTGCAGGAGACTGGGGACATGGGGAAGAACTAGGGGGGGTTTGTTGTGGTCTAGCTAAGGAAATTGGGGGAGCCTGGAATACTTTAGTGGCAATGTAGTGAGGTAGATTAACTGCAGCCTGAGTGTGACCTGTATTTGAGATCTGTGGTGTTGCGTAGGAAAACTCAATAAAGCAAGGACATTGCAACAAAGTGGGAAGGGACATAGGCAAAATGTGTATAAAAAGGTGGGGAGGTGGTGATGAAGGATATGAGAATACTGTGGTGTATATGGGAGGAAAGGAGGGAAAAGTACGTTTCATGGAAAGAATCACATGTTGGTGACTGCTTTGTGGACTAATGTTTATCCTGAATTGTGGAATTTTTCAAGCATTGTCTACATAGACTATATCAAGGCTTGCACTGGATGCTGCCTTTAAAATAAATTAGGGTTTCTTTCCTTATTCTGAAGTAGTAATATGCAGACTAATAGCTATGGCACAAGCCACAGGCTTTCAGAGATTGGATGAAGCATGCCAGACAGAACTAATCCAATTATAATTTAATTTTTAAAGATTTGTATTAATTTACCATATGGTGTAAATTACAGTGAGTTTACTGCTCTATCATTTTCACTTGTCTTTTACCAGAAATGCTGAATTACCACGATGGCAGCTGGGAATACCAGGACACTTGAAAGGAGACAGCCTATTCTTAAGAGATTTTCAGTTCCAGATTTCTGGGCATACCTCTCTGAAAAGATCAATACTACGTGATTATTTTTTAATATTTTGTAACTTTAATTACATTAGCACTTTTTGAGGAAGAGTGGCTTGAGAGACTGAGTTGCTTCTTCAGCTGAGGAATGGAACAGTGGCTATGAGATAGGGATAGTTTCCTGAGACATCTGCCATGCCTCTCACTGTGATGTCTAACTGACACATACTGCAACAGCACTGCAAGAAATCAGAACGCGTCACCAGTGGCTTTGCAACTGGTTATGCCTTTGTTTACTGCTGACTTTGATCAAATTTTTTCTCCAGATTGACTTAGGAGTCATTAGCAATTAAAACTAAGGAATTTTTTTTTTTTTTTTTTTTTTTTTTTTTACAAATCAGCGCTGATTAAGACTGAAAGTCCTGCAAAGAAGGATGAGAATAGGGTCTGGCTCAAGCATGTGTTTGATTCTGAACAGACCACAAACAAGAATTGTTTTCTCAGAACCTTTGTGAGTGACACTAAACTACTGCTTACTCTCTTTGAGCCTTTTTTTTCCTGCCTCAGCCTCAAATTCCTACTTTTGTGTATGTCCTGGCAGGATGAACCTACTGAGGTTTGCCAGCAGCCATAAAACATATGGTTCCCTTGGATTGTTTTTATCAATTAGGGTAAATCAATCAAAGAAGATGAAGCCTTACTGCCAGAAGCCCTTTTCCTCAGCAAAGAAACCCATCTGATTCCAAGCCCCAGGCATGACTAAAATTCTTTGCTAACTTTGACTTTGACACAGTTAAAATACCAAAAACCTTGTTTCAGTCATTTTCATTCTACTCGAGATAATCATATAGTTTTAATTCCCCTCCTTACATCTTCATGCTGTAATATGAGCTGTGGGCTTCAAACACATACCATGAAGTATGCAGATGAGAAAAAAGTGCTGTGACTTTTTGCAGACATGTAACTTGCAAGGGGATGTTTATGTAAGATAGAGTAGAGACACATTTTCCCAGCTAAGAATTGCACTTTGAAAACAAAGGTATTAAACTCCAGCTGGTCATCTGTCATAGCAAGAATTTTACTCTTTTTACCACCCAGACTCATTGCTAAACCTATGTAATCCTGAAATGTAACTTTTAAGTGTGATCTATGGTTATGATTAGATTTGTAGTATCAAGTTGCTCTTGTAAACCTCTTTGTTTTCCTAAAAATATCCTGGGAGCAGAACCACTGGGACAATATTGCCCAGTTTATTCTAAAAGCTTTGGTTTTTTGGTTTTTTTTGTTTTTTTTTCTTTTAAGACACAAGAAAACCCCACCCCAAAACAACCCCTAAAATGAAAAGAAACCCCAACCCAATTACTATCGCATAGTAAAATTGCATGTAATGTTTAATTATCTAATCGGATTAGATTAAAAAATCCCAAACAAAAAAAAACCAAACAAAAACATGGGAAAAGTAGTTGAGAACAAAACAGCCTGTAGGAGCTAGAAAAAGAAGGCATAGATTCAAACTTTTAACCGTGAACACAAAAACATGTTCAGAGCATCTGTCAGCTTCCTCAGAGTTAAAATGCAAAGGCTCTAAGTTGTAACATTCCTGAGAAATCAGACAAATATTTTTCCCCTCCCCTCATTCACAGGGGGCATTGTGACAAAATGAGAATACTGCAGGTATTTTGGAAAAAAAATTTATCAGTGCCTCAGACTGTAGCTTGCAGCTGCCAAGGGTCTGGATTGTATTCAGGACATTCTAGAAAGTAATGCAAAACAAACATGAAAAAGTAAAACAAAGGTTTAAATATAAAAAATATAATAAATTTAAATAAATTTAAATATAAAAGGTTTTTCTGACATAAACCCTTGTAGCAGTGTTTTCATTTCAGGGCTGCCATTTCATTATACCCTGGGTTAGCTGTTTGCAACTGAGTGTGCACACATATGTTTAACAGCTCACAAAGGCTTTTGCTGATAGAAAAGTGTCAGTACCTGATCCTGGTTTGGATATATGAGATTATTGCTTGAAGCATAGCAAAAGTAAATATTTCTATTCCTTCAGCCTGGATCCGTACATAGATCATCCCCTTCCCAGCAAGCTTGCTGGACACTGCTTCCTCTCTCACAACCAATATTCCCTTTCTGAATTCCCATGCTTATGAGGCAGTTTGAAGAATGTCACGATGATATAATTTTTCTGCTCATCCACAGGCTTAGTGGGATTTTCCACACAGGAGTGCACTGTGGAGGCATTGCACAGCGTGGGACATCTACCAAGACAATTGAGGAATTCAGGTGTATCTTGCTTCTGTAAGGGGAGAGAGAGGAAGGGCTGCTCTTGGGGATGGAGCCCTCTCCATGTGGGCTGGGGACAGTGGACAGGCTCTCAGCAGGAAGGCTGAGCTGGTCTTCAAGAGCACTCTTGCAGGGATGTAGGATGTACCTTGACAGCAATCATGCCACAGTAAATCTGCATCGCTGTACACCAGGAAGAACTGGGAGTTCAGTCAGGGTTCAAGAGCTGCCCTCAGTGAGCGGGGCCTGGCTCTCCTGGTGTTTTCAGCAGGACTTTTGAAGTGTTTGACTCTGAAATGCTGTAAGCACAGGAAGAGGATGAAAGAAAAACTCACCTTGGGAGAGCTGGTCAGTGGGAAGAGTTGGCTGAGCAGAAATAAATAAATTTTTTTAAAGTGCCTGTGAGAATACCAAATGAAAAAGTGGGAGGACGAGGTGGAGGTTTCCTCTTCACTGAGACTGCTGAAATGTCCATAGGAAGTCAGAATAGCTGGATTGGATTCTGGTGTCCTGCACCATTTCATGTTTATCTTATGAGTAACCTTTTGATCAACAGCAGACTCGTGTGCCCTCCACAAATACGCAGTCTAAGCACTTAAGTTGCTGCTCTGTCTGGTTCTTTTGTCATTGCACTGAAGAAACAGCCAGAGGGCTCGAAAAGATCACTTTCGGTGTCTTCACTCAAGTATGTTGCTGGGGTTTTTTTCTGAGAGAAACGGATGTGATGTACCCGAATCTGACCAAAATTCAGTGGTTACATTAAAAGTAAGTGTTTTGTTTGTATAAGACAAAAAGCAAAAAAAATGTTTTGAGAATCTATCAGTGCAGACTAAAATGATGAGCTGCAGAAAGAGTTTTGGAGTTATTTAAATTTTTACTACTGCCTGAGTAGGCAGTCTCCAATGTCTGACTCAGAAGCTACCCGTCTGTAGTGTCATCAGATTGGGCCAGAATTGCCCCTCAGACACTAATAGGTACTTGAGTTTTACCCTAAATCGTAAACTGAGACACCATGAGCTTGCCTAAAAGTTTATGGGATCTAGTACACTTTTACTGGGATGAGGAGGAAATTCAGTGGTGGTAAACAAATATAAGAACCTATTGTGACTGCGGCTTAGAATCACCAGGAGACCAATTAACACCTTTTTGTTAGGATTAACTATTATGATGTTTTCAGCAAGAGCCTTAAATTGGTACTTTCTTGTAGTTCAAAGTGTGACTGCACTGCAGTTACAAGGGAAGTGGAGATCAAAGCTCCCAGAACAAATAATTACATGAAGGTAAATTCCATCTGATGTAGGAAACAGCAGAAGCCTCCCAAAGAGCAGCAAACAGGCTGGCCGGGAGCAGCCCATCGGGGTGTGAGACACAAAAGGAGATTTTCAAAGGGAGAAACGCCTCTCGCCTCTCGGGCTGGGTTGGATGGGAATCGGGATGGGGATAGGGGCGAACCGGCCCCTCTGAAACCACACGGTTGTGTGGGGATGCTCTCCGCTGTGTCAGCAGCTCCATTACCAACAGTTTTATTTTCTGAGGTTCATCACTCAGCTGAACTGGTTGTAATACATAGCACAGAAATCCTGTGTGAGGTCCGTGTGCTCGGCTGGGAATTTAATTAAGGAGGAAAAGCCCATTGTGCTATATTTGGTGACTGGTTCATTTTCTTGATGCTCGTCCTCTGCCCGGGAGAAGAGGTTGCGTGGTGGGAATAATGGAATTCCCCTTGTTGCCTCCATGTTCCTCTTGAGGTCTTTCAGTGGTAGCTTGCCAATGAAAAACTGCATTTAAATAAATAACTCTGGAATTAATTGAAATCTCATCTTTGTTGGAGTCTGCACTTAGATGATATTGTCTCCAATTTAGACTTTTAGCATAAAGTAGAGGGAACTTGATTTTACTTACCTAAAATACAAAAAAAAGGCTCCAGGCCATGAGTGATTAAATGGTTAGATTGTTTTAGTGGAATTCTGAAGGAATTGTTGATTTCTTTAATTTTGCTGAAAATCACCAATGAAATGGGTAAATAACAGCTAAAGAAGTGAGTTTACAGTATTTCAAAGAATATGTTATGTAAAGAGGAAGAAAACCCAAACAAAAAATATGGGAAATTCCAAAACATCTTAAATTTTCCATTTTGTGACTTTCAAAGTTTAGTATTTCTTTGTTATGTGTTATTTTTATTCCAGGTGGATACAATATAGGGTTAAAGTGAAGGAAAACATGTAGCGCAAGGAATGAAAAAAGTGTCCTGTTTTGGTTGGCATATGAATGAAAATTATACAGCACAAATATACCTGTCTTGAAAATGAAATAAATTACTAAGATCCCTACAAATGACACTGCAATTATTCTCCTTCTAATTAGAAGCTGGGAACTTTTAATTCCATAAGCAGTCTCCTCATTATTCTCCTAGGTTATAAAATAAGTATTCCTTCAAAGACTGGGCATCATGGAATAATAAGCTAACACTTCAGCATGAGGTTGACTCACCTGTTTTCTCTCAGCTTGCACTCAGCTGACCACCTGTATTTCTGTCAGCCTCCTGAGTCAGATAAAATATAAGTCATGCAATTAAATATTTATTGTGACCTCAGGGTGTGCTGTATGAGATCTGCACTCGGTTAGGGGATGGTGTGTGCTTGCTGAACTGGTCCAAAAAGCTGCACCAACAGCCCAAGCACAGCTTGATTCAAATTCTTTTCAGTTTAACTTGAACTGACAGGAATTAGTATCAATGAAACTATGTACAGTGTGTTTTTAATTATATGAAGTTTGAAGCCATTTAATTAACCTAGTTTAAATCAAATACTAATTATGATATTGAAACTATTTTTTCCCCAAATGTGTTGCTTAAAAGGAAAGGATTTAGGCCAAGATATTTTCCCTCCCCTCTCATGGGTATTGCAGAAATTAGCTCCCACCTTCTTGATCTACAAAAAATACCAGAGTCCTCTGATTTTACACATCTCACTTCCGTATGGGAAAAACTGTTTCTACAAAACTGAAACTATTTCTAGATAAGTTCCCATCCCCTTCAGTTTGTCTTTTTGCCTACTGGGAAAATCTGCTACAATATTGATTGTCAAGACAATATTCAACAAAGTAATTTAACTTTTTTTTGGAGGAAATGAACATTTATCAGGCTGCTCACCCTTTTTCTGCCTCCCTGAGCTACTGGCACAGTGCTGGAGCACTTGTGGGGCAAAGCTGATACCTCTAGCCAGCTAGGGACAGGCTTCCTGAGCCCACAGGAACGCACAGAGCTGCTGCCAAACTGCAAAGCTGTGCTCCAGCATAAAGGATGGCATGTTCCCAAGTGTCTCCTGCTAGGGAAGAACAGGGCATTTTGTTACTTGTGGTACACCAGGGTGTCTAGAGGGGTTAGTTTGCCTCATGCCAGCCCTGGCAGACCCTTTGGCCTGTCCAGGGCATTTTCCCTGGGGTGACACAGCAGCATGGTCCTTCAACCCAGTCTGCATACCTGCCTTCCACCCAAAACAGTTTGTGATGCTCATGAGGTGAAGAAAAAGAGAATTTTGGCATGCCTATAATAAAGACCTTGATTTATTTTTTTTCCCCCTCTGTGTGGACAACCAAACAAATGAGACTACTCACTACCCAGGGGACACCCCTCAATGTGTGTGCTGTGAGGTGTTCATCCTGGGAATTGGTAGGTCACCAGCTTAGTGGGTTCATGCTCTCTGTCACTGAGGGCCAGGGCAGGCATTGTGATCATGTGCCATCCTTCCTTGAATCCTGGGAATTGACAACAGGAAGGTAGGTAGATGTGCCTTCCCCTCTTCCCTGCATGAAACACCCTTTTTCAACACAGCAAATCTAATGTTTAGGTCAGGTTGTTGTTTTGACATCGTCTGACAAAAGCCAGGAAATGCACACTCTGCACTCACCCTGGGCACCTTGCTAACTCCCACTTATTTGTTTTCACAACAGCCCTAGCTAAGGGCTGGATTTAGCTTACGAATTTCCTGGCTTGTGTCAGTTTGCCTTACAGCCATAACCTGGTTTCAACATATTTCTTTCTGTATTTAATATTAGTGCTGGAAGTGCTATTTACAATAGCCATCTTCTAATGAGTGGGAAAGAGTACAAAGCCCTTCTGAAGGGAGAACATAAAGTGTTTGAAATTAGTAACAGGCATGGGGGCTGTTGGCAGAGGATCACTTACAATAAATGATCTTTTTGTTTTTACTAAACAAGAGGTCAATTCCGTTAAAAAAGAACACTTCCTACATTTTTAGTTACTCTTATCACAGGAAGGGCTATTCTTTTATTTACTGCCTTGCAGTAATTAAGAAAGGGAATTATTTGTACCAAAGAATGATCAAAGAATGATCAAAGAATGCTTACGAAACATGTCACACAAGACCATGTAAAAAGAATGTTTGTTTATGTTGGGACATATGAAGGAGGAACTCTTGCTTAGCTCACTGATGAATTTGACTGTAAGGGCTCTGAAAGCTTTTTTTTTTTTTTTTC